TTAAGTGTAATCTCTCACCACTAAAGAGCTGCTCACCTTGATCTGGCCAATGAACAGCCTGAAGAAGATGAGGGAAGGGGGGGGGAAGGGAGCAACACAAGTTTAAAGAAACAATCTTAGGAAAAACAGAGGCAGAATAGTTTTCTCTGTAAAGAAGCTCTATATGTCTGTGAAGAACTTCGTGTCCCTGAATGTTGAAATACTGTTGAAAACATCTGGATAAGATTAACAGGAGTGAGAAAAAAATATGTGATAGCATTGTGGGAGTTTACTATAGGTTACCTAGGAAGGAAAAGCTTCAGGAAGGCTTTTTCTACGCAGCCTTACCTAGATGGGGAGGTCTTGAAGAAAACCCCTTGGCCCCTTGGGGCAGAGATAGCATAGTAAGAAATCCAGTTATGCTGACAGAGAGCCAATAACGCTGACTAAGACTGAATCCTCAGATCTCTGAATCAAATGAATATTTTTTTAAAAAAAAAAAATTCTGGCAATGATATTATTCAGGCCCTTACTAGAACTGAATTTCATTCCCTCTCCTGTTCAGTAAACCAATTTCCATTTTTCTATATGCTGACAGTGTTGCTATTCTTTGGCTCTACGACACCTGCATTTCATTATCAATCCAAAATGCTGGAAATCAACCACATAAAAACCAAGGTGACACATTAACCACCCCCGCGTTTGGAAAACTGACAATCTTTTCCCGGAAACTATTCTTCAAGCCTCACCCTACGTGCCCAAATAGCTTGGAATGCAATAATTAGACACATAGCCTATGGGGGCAACAACTCTCTTCCTGCAGCAGGTAAACTTTTAAAACCTCAAGGGCTACGTATGGTGCACAGTGTTGGGCTTATAAGGACACATATGCATTAGAAGCAGTGCAGTTTAAATTGATGAGATCTCAAGTCTCTGCTCTGTTGCCAAGGGATGTCTCCACCTAGAATCTGATGCATTTCCGTCAAGGGCCCACTTAGCATGCTGCAGGTTGAAGTATTAGCTTAAGTAAATTGTTGAGGGTGGCTCTTTAAACCAATTAGTATTGACAGATAGACATGTCAGAGTAACCTTCTTTCTTTACTAGTGATTAGACCTAATGACACCCGAGTTGGTAGTAAAATAAACACAAACATAGGTAAACAAGACCCCTTTTATCCTCCTCCTTCCTCACAGTATACAAACGGTGAAACTCAATGTTCATCGGGAGCTGCATGCTGGTGTTAACTCGAATTGTAAAGACAACTCTGACTCTGTCACGTTAAGTTAGTTTTGCTCCATGTTATGACCTTTCTTGCCACAGCTCTTAAGTGAATCACTGCAGTTGTTAAGTTAGTAACACTGTTGTTAAGTGAATCTGACTTCCCCATTGACTCTGCTTGCGAGAAGATCGCAAAAGGGGATCCCATGACCCCGGGACACTGCAACTGTCATAAAAACGAGCCAGTTGCCAAGCATCCAAATTTGGATCATGTAACCATGGGGATGCTGCAACAGTCATAAGTGTGAAAAATTGTCATAAGTCATTTTTTTCAGTGCCGTTGTGACTTCAAAAGGTCACTAAGCAAATGGTTGTAAGTCGAGGACCACCTCTGCTTCTGAAGGTAATAAAGCTGAGATTTTTTTTAAAAAAGAGAGCAAACAAACAAACAAGCAGAGAATCAATGAGGTTCAGGTACCTGAACATACCCCTTTACTAAAGAGAAGGGTGTGGACCCTTCTGAATTTAGCTCTTCCCAGGAATCTTTGGCTGTAGCTCAAAGCTGGGTGGGTAAGAGAAATAAGTGTGAGAGTTACAGACACCGTAGTCTTCAAAGCAGGGGAATTTTTATTGTTTTTATTCTGAAACCACATTCTAGTAGCCACAAATAAAAAGGCGAAGAAAAGAAAGAAAAGCATTTAATCACAATATTTTAAGATTTCATTTTCTATGGAATTTCCCACATCAAATGAAACTAGGCAGGCAGGTAGACAGACAAATTGATAGACACAAGCAATATATAAGGCAATATATAAGGGATGGCATATGTAGCACTCATTTTTGTGTCTGCATTCATGCCCTAAGTGAGTTGCCATTGCCTTCTGCTGGGCATGTGGCTGTTTTAATTTCTTCAGCATTTGTTTTGCAATTGGAATTATGAGTCCCTTCACACCCACACACCCCATTCATCAAAGAAGCTATCAGGGTTGACTCCGCTTAGGAGTTATGAGACCAGCATAGGTTGGCTAGTTGCTGCTATCTGCTGAGGCTTTTCCTGATGTTCTCCTGTTTCATGTAGGTCAATGGCAGGGTGGACAGGTTGCGGTGTTCCACATTTTCTTGGCCTCGAAATCATGCCATCTCTGAACATTGATCATGATAGCTAGGGGCTTATGAGAGTTGAAGTCCAGCAATATCTAAATAGGTGCAGCTCACCAACCTTTAGCCTACATTTATTTCATGGAAATTAATCTGGAGAGACATCTATGTTACATGTTTTATAATAGAACACTGACTCCACTATTACAGTTCATATGCTTTCCAAGACTGCCCACATACAATCCCTCCTTTTAAAAGGAAAAGACTACATGACTCAGATCTCAGTGTCTCCAAATTTCTGCACAGGATATTAATATTTTATTACATCTTGTACAATCTAGAAGAGAACTATATACCCAGTTTTTCCAAGTGGAAAAAGAATATTTCACCATTCAATGAATGGTGGATTCCATTCTTTTGTTATAAAAATATCATTATAAATCAGTATGTGCCCACACATCTAGGTTGTCTATCCTGCTTCCCAACCGAGCATAGATAACTCTATGTGTCCTTTATTTGTATCATAATTGCAAATATCAGGGCATCTGAATTTAAGTTTTTATTAGTTGTATCATGCTCTTCAAGTATTACTTTTCGTCTTCCCCTCTTTCCAGCAACTGTACAAAAATAAGATAAGGAAATCCATTTAAAATATCCAGGCAGTCAGACTTCTGAATTTTCCTGTGGCTTTCTTGATTTAACAATAGATTCAACGGAGAAGATAACTTCAGGAACAAAGTTTTCCTCTGCATGCTTAGAACAGGATGTATCTGGTGGGCTATGGCAAACTCATTATGTTAAGCTAGTTTGTGGTAATGTGGGACTCAATATCTTATATGCGTGGTTTAGTCCAGACTAAGCCATTTTATTTAGTCTTAATGGAATTAATAAAAACCAGTGGGATTTCTAATAGGGAGGGTTATTTTTGTTTCAATCCCATTCTTGAATAATGTTATCAAAGTGGAGAGTGATGCAGATTTAATAGCAAAAACTACAGAATATCTGCTTAAATTAATGTATATTTTAGACATTCAATTAGAATGTCTAAGAAGGAATGGAGAAGATTTTTTAGAGGGAAATCTTGGCCAGTAGCTGCAAATCAGGTATTAAAATTGCCACTCCTAAAAATTGTTATAATATCAAATTCTTCTGTAAATACCTTTTGCAGGGGGAAGGAATTATGGAGATGTTCACAATTTATTTACCTCATCTCATCAGATGTTTGTGAATATATGTTCTAAGGCTGATTTATGGAATTCAATATCACAATCACAATACAGCCTTTAAAACCCTGCAGAAAATGTGATTTGGATAAACTTATAACCCGCCTTTCTCTATGCACACTGCACTTGTGGGAAAATGCCAAGAAGAATATATATTTCACATTTCTAGCTGTCACCTAAGCCTGATGTTGTGAGCTATGAGAGATCGACTGGCCTCAAATCATCCAGCCAGCTTTTTATTACTGTAGAGATCATAAATCCTAAGAAAAAAGGAACATAAGCTGAAAATGGAGCTTCTTTAAATGGAGGGAACAAACCCTTATCCCTACCACAACCCTGCATTTTCAGTCTATATACTCTGCACACTGAAATCCAATCGAATATTAAAAAAATGAAATCCTCTTACATTTTTGACTTTCTCCCCAGGGGTGATCACACAGACTGACCAAGCTATTTTTAAAGAAATAGCCTTGAAACTCTTTAAAGTTTTGATCTACATGTTCTACCTCTATCAGACGTTACAAACGATAATGGTGGAAATATTTTACAACGGTCTTATTCCGTATTTCGTGTAAAATAACTTGTTGCAAGTCGAAATTATGTCAATTGGAACTTTACCAAAGTTTCAAAGACAATGTAAGAGGTCTTGACAAAAGGAGTTCGTGGGTCAGTACTTATATGTTTGGATCATAAACGGCCTCTATATTTTTCTCCTTCTCCCCATGAACTGATATGGAAAGCATAGATGACGCTCGGCTGGTCACTGCAGCTGTTTCTGCTTCAGTAAGACTGAGTCATCCCCAAACAATGTGATAACATTTAGCAAAGCTTTGGGTAAGCAGCAAAACGGCAGAATCTGAAGTCTAAGCGGGCATGCAGTACCTTTTTTACTGAACCAAGTACAGCCAATTCAAGACAAGTTAAATTTCAGTTCTGTGAATTCAATTCCTCTGATTGCATTCAAACTGATTTCTATGGACCACAATTAGCTTAAACCTAAGGGTGAAAATGGATATGACTTCACAATTAACACAATTGAAAGACAATTTGACTGTGCTGTTATCACAGTGGTTCTATTGGAATTAGTTTAAGAAATATGCTTTCTTCTGTTCATAACTTTTTTTTTAAAAAAAGTGTTTGATATAAAGTTGGCACTGGAGTAGTAAGGTAAAAACTGGGTGGACATAAATGCAGATGTGCTGCTTAGAAAAAATTACCACTTGCTTCCTAGGCAAGAATGGAAAGCTGATCTAACAATCAACTGACCATCCAGCACTTACGTAAAGTGGATTGCAAAGTCAAATCCGTCATTGTTGTCAGAAATACAAATCTTGATAGAGTTACTCTTAAAAGATTTTATTTCTAGTTTCACCCTTGTGGTTTTGATGGTGCAATCTTGGCAGTCCTCTTGCGAAATGTTACATGAAAAATTATCAGTGTACAGCTTTTAATAATTTCAGTTTCAATGTATGTCTTCCCTTTCCTTCCTTCTCACACCAAAATCACATCATTGACTACAAGCCCTCCTTGCTTCCTGCTGCCCTGCTCTCTCCCTGATCTGGTACCCAAGAGTAATTATCTGTGACATTCTTAGAATTTTTCTTGACTTCCTTGGCTTTTATTTTCCTGTAGATGACCCAACCTAGGGCAAAAGACACCAGGAATAAAACGCCCACACCACCCAAGATATGATATAAAAAATGCTTAGAGTCATGACTCTCCTTATCTATCCTCTGATCTCTGATCCGGGGTTTGTTCTCCAGTGCAGTGCTGACCACAGCTGGTTGAAGGGTGGAATCCTGGGACGCGAAGTCTCTTTCTAGCTCGGCTTGAAGTGAAGGATCAGTCAGCAGGGCTGGTAACTCTGAAGCAGGATGAATGTCTGTTGGGATCCATTCTCCTCCCTCAGTGGGTGGTGAAGAGATGCTGCTTGTCGGATCCAAGAGACAAGAGATACCATTAGGTGCCAAAATCCAGCCAGGCATACAAGAGCACAGGTAGCTGCCAACTTGATTGATGCACGTATGTTCACAAAGTTCTTCCTGACACTCATCCATATCAAGACAAGAAGAGCTATTAATACCTTCCAACTGGTATCCTGGCTGGCAAGAGCAGTGGAAGGAGCCATGAGTATTTACACAAATCTGGTCACATGGTGTATTCCTTGCACACTCATCAATGTCTTGGCATGCCTGGTGGTCAGACTCAGCAGGCATATAGCCTAGGTTGCAACGACATGTGAAGGATCCCTTGGTATTCACACATATTTGTTCACAAGGACTTTGAGGTGCACCACACTCATTCACATCAATGCAGCTCCGCTCATCATCAGCCAAAATATAACCAGAAGCACAGAGGCATTGGAAACCACCAGGGTATGGTTTACACTGTCCTTGACATGGATTGGAGCTACAGTAGTCCACAGGGACACAGGAAAGGTGATCCCCTCTAAGTTGGTATCCTGAGCGGCATGCACATTGAAACAAACCCTTGCCCTGATTCAGGCACTCATGTTCGCAACCCCCATTGTTGTAGCTGCAACCATAAGTGGGTGAAGCACAAAATGGACCTGGGCTGCTCCATTCAGAGATATTGCTGTTTGGCTGTGGCTTGCACACAAGGAAGGTGTCAGGTATCTCCTCTCCTTGGGGTTCACATGCTACTTCAGCTGCGGAGCCAAAAGGTACAGTTTCAAGGAAATCAGTGGCTACACCAAAAGGGGTGCTGTAGCTGACCACGCCTGGCCCTGCCAGTATAAGTGGACGGCACATTCCCTGGAAACTGAACTTGCACAAGAAGCCTGACAACCCGGCAGTTGCATTACCACAGAGGCTGTCTGCCCAGGACAGTTCCCGAGATGAGAAGGGAGTCCCCTGAAGGGTCACACACATATTTGACAAGCATGTTTCCCGGGGTTCCTGTCCCCATTTAGAGTACTGGGTGTCCTCACCTGTCACCCAGCGGAAGCCCTTCAATGGCCGATGTTTCTCATAGCATTTGCCTTTCTTTCGGTGAAGCCCAATCCACAATCTTACCTCCGTAACTGTGCCAGCTTCCCCTTTGGGCATCTTGGTGAGCAGCTGTGGGACAAGCAAAGCCTCCTCTTGGCTTTTCAGAGTCATCAGGTTACCCCCATTGTCTTTGCACTTTTGCTGAGCTTCGATCCAACTGAACCGTCCTAAATTCAGTGTGTAGCAAGTAGTCCCAGAACACAAAGCTTCTACCTCTTCACTGGGCTGAGCTGTCAGTCCCAAAAGCAGCAGCTGCCAAAATACCTGCTGGAGAATCCCCATCTTTGCTGCACGAAGGAGCAACGAACGGGGTGATTTCATTGTGAGCTCAAATTCTATAAATGTCTGAAAAGCATATGCTAAGACAATAGAGCACAGCTTGTTTGCCTCCCATATCCCTTTGGCTCAGTGGTTGGGTCATATGCATCCTGTCTTGGTTGAGAGTCTTATTTGTCACCGGAGACTTAAGTTTCCTGAGAGAGTTTCATTGTCAGCTGCAGCTCTAGTTGTTCAGTTTGTTTTAACCTGTGGGTATAGGAAATATCCCTTTTATACCCTCTCTCTGTTTTCTTATTTTTAACCTAGTTCTTTTCCTTCATGTGAGAATCTTGGTGGAATGTACACTGCCTACCCCTCTTCCCCCCACCCTTATAAAACATCACTGAACTTTTAAACAAACCAAATAGGGCCTTCCAGTTTTGGAGTGGTATTTTTTAAAATTGTGATTTGGACATAAGATGCCACATCTAGATGGAAAAACATTGTACAGTCCTTCATGATATTAACCTCTCATATTTATGATCTTTAAATAGAAATAAAACCCTTAAATAGAAATTGGGTCATGGGAATGTCTTCATTTTAAAGGCAGCCACGCTTTTTAAGGGCTCAGAACTGATTCCTATACATAGTGTGAAATCCTCATTCAGCCAAAACTGACAGGCCAGTTTTGTTTCTATTGAATTTTTAGCAGGTTTACAATGTAAATGCTCACAAAGAATTTTCTAAATTCAGAGTTCTTAAAGTAACATTTGAGATAATGCAATTACAAAGAGCAAGCACTTTTGAGATGTGTGAAATTACATCCAGGGTCCAAACTAGATTCCTAAGTATCGCAAAACTGACAGTATGAATACCAGCACAATACTGCCTCAAGGTGACATAGATTTTTAGGAAATTGCCTTAGTATTGAATTAGACTGTGGATAAATAATTGTTATCGACTACAGTCTTCTGAATGTGGGTCCACTGCAGCTGTGTTAGATTGCAACTCCCACCATCTCTAGGTGCATACAGAATGGGAATTGTAATTCAACACATGACATGGGAACAGTGTTTGCAACGGCTGCTCTACCTTAATTGGTAGAGTTTTCCAGAGACTTAGACATCAGTCTTTCTCAGCTCTGATCCATGCAGCATGTGAAGAATGACAATTTCAGATATACAACAAAAGATTATTCACATGATAAAAGATGCTTCCTGGAAGAAAATAAATTTCCCATGTGAAATGGGTCAGACCATGCAGTTGGATGGCAGTACCAGGAGGTATAAGAAAAGTGCCAAAGGAAATCTGGTCAAAAACTAAAAGTGCATGAGAATTGTCATCCTTTGGAGCCATTATAAGAGAATCAGATACATATTATGCATCTGGTAATTGGAGAAGAAAACAAGTTATGGTTTTCTCCTTTGTGTCCGCAGAAATTTATTGAATGGAGTTTTTCAGAGCTATTGGATACATATATTTTTAATGATCCCAATAGATATTCTGCTAATATTATGAATAGTTTGCATAATTTTTTATGGATTTAAAAACCATGTGAAATCAACAAAGGCCTGATGTCCATCTCCCCTGTTTTGAGTTTTCTATTTGAGTGAGAAGGTATCTTGATCTTGTAGATCAGCGGTCTAAGGACTTTATTCTTCCAGTGATTTCTGTGATTACTGTATATTCCCTTTGTCAGGAAGAATTTTCTGAATTCTTAAAAAAGTCAGTGGTGAGACCTTCGCCTAAAAAGCCGTATTTGAATCTGAAATAATATAATAAATATTGGCCCAAATCCAACATTCCACATTTAGCATTTGATAGTACTACAGTCCCAGAGGCCCTGATCCTTAGATCCAAATTTGGTATGGAAATGACCACAGTGATCTTGATGGATGATCTGTAAAGAACGTTGACCCTACTCATACATGAAGAATTCTGTGTTTTTAATACTACTGACCATAGTGTTCTATTAGAACATGTGAAGAAGCTGCCGATTGGTTCCTTAGCATTTGGTTTTCCTGGACTTTAATTGTTTCTACCCGTAACCTCAATTGACAGGTTTAGAAGACACAGAGAATGGCCTTGAAGAACAGGAGGAAGAGGAAGAGACTGTGGACAAATAAAAGAGTTTTGAGCCCAGGCCAAGCAAATAATGTGAAACAAATATCAGATAAATCCCTTCTGAATTCATAGACATATAAAGTGAGGGGCCCAAGGGACACATCCAGACTTGCAAGATTCTGTTACTGTAGCTGTTACAATATGGCATTGGTTTCTGAGTCTGGTCTACCTTATTGGGCTGACATCAGCTCATTTTCCTTAGCACTTTCAGTGTCCAAATCTATTGGAATAGGATGTTTCACCATTCTCTTTGCCAGGTCTTTTTAGTTAGAATTAGTTATAACATTGCTAACTGTTTATATGAGATATTGTTTATGTTTCCATTTTTTCTTGTTAGCTATCTTGAGTGCCTTTTAGCAGAAAGGTGAGGTGCATATTGAAAGAAGAAAAAGGACCAGTAAGGGCTAAAGTAAATGTTACTTTTATTGTCCAATTGGCTCTCATCGGTGCCCAAAAGTACACCTTTTTCTTTGTAAGCGGAGGTGTTTTTTTTTTAAATAAAAGGATTACAGCCGGGGAGAGGAAAGTTTAAAATAGTAACTCAAATCAGTATCAAGCTAAAGTAACTTGCTTCAGATAGCACAGTAAGTGAGGATGTCTAAGAGCTTACACAACCTTTTTTTAGGCTGTTATTTTTCAAAGGGGTTTTTGAATCACGTGTTGAGAGGCAAACTCCAAATGACGAATGAGGCTGGGATAAGACAAGGGGCAGATCAAAACTAAATGACCTTTAGAAGCTATTAAATTTCATTCCGGCTTATGTAATTACTCCCCATATATTTCATTATTTACTCCTTTAGGGTTAAGGTTCAGGGCAGGGTAAGAGTGAGGGTACCATACATTTTGCAGCTACCATATTTGGACTGTAAAAATACAAATGACCCTCAGATGGCATAAGAGATACAGAAAACTGACTGTAGCAACCGGCACCCAGCACCCCTGGACAAAGTGCCAGTCTAGGAGGAAGTCCTGGAGAGGCCCTGGGAAGCATGTCTGTGTTTCTACATCAATAGGAGGAGCTGGATCTGAATAGCGAAGCAACACCGTTCAAAGAGTTAGTTGTACTGTGCTGATGAGGCGATCATCATCTCATCCACCAGAATTTGTCAAGTTCTTCCAAATCAATTTGCCAGTTCTAAGGGACAGCTAGGCAGATAAGGGCAGATAATGAATCTTCAATACTAGCAAATCCAACAAAACCAGCATTATGATTTCAAATGTGATGCTTCTTTAAGATTACATACGTCTTGCAACACAAGTGTGTGTAAATGAAAGCTATGCTATACATGTGATTCCATTAATATATTTAGCCCATTCGCCATGCCAGAGGGTCAGTAGAGAACGGCAGAGAAGCATAGTGATTGTTGCAACAAGACCAAAGATGCATGTGTGGGTGTATCTCTGGTTTAATACATGAGTGGTCAGTGTGCAAAATCTAGAAATGTTGCACCATAAAATACATGATTCAATTGTAGACAAAAGTTCTATTAATAACATGACAGTTTTATGATATATTAAATCCTGATGAGTCAGAATATAACTTCAGGAGAGACACTACAATCAACATTTCTTCCCCAACTCTCACTGATGGGTTTGTTTCTCTTTGGCATTGCCATGAAATATCACTGCTTTCTACATCATGGAAATATTTGAAAAGAATCAAGCATATCTGGGGCTGATATTTCTGTCTCCCCGCTTAGCATATTTTTACTCATATTCATATACTTGTTGGTGTTCTTGAATTAGTACAACTCTTGGGACATTTATTTCCTGAATGATCTCATATATGGATGCACGAAGAGATTTTGTAGAATTTGTGATGAAATCTCTGCTGGCAACTTACTTGAGTTTTCTGAAACCTGAACAATGTACTGAGGCTGTTATGGTATGATCCTAATGTCTCCTTAGTTACTTATTTCTTAATTCTGACTTGACATGAGAAAGATAGCTATCGTAAATAATAATAATAATNTTGTCCTGCCTCCAGGCGCTTTGGAAAATAGCTTGACTCCCTCTTCTTTATGGCAACCCCTGAGATATTGGAACACTGCTATCATGTCCCCCCTCGTCCTTCTCTTCATTAAACTAGACATACCCAATTCCAGCAGCCGTTCCTTATATGCTTTAGCCTCCAGTCCCCTAATCATCTTTGTTGCTCTTCTCTGTACTCTCGGTACTCTTTCTAAAGTCTCAATGTTTTCATGTATTGCATATATGTGATTGTTGTCATCCCACTAACAAATATGAAAGGGGATGAAGGAGAAATCTTCCTTTCTCATGCCCAACTCAGTAACATTTCCCTGCCGCCGCACTGAAATCTGGAGAAAATTCTTCACCCATACATTGTACTCTTCCCTGGTCTTTCTCTTTTCTAAAAGATGTAAAAGCAAAGAAAATATTCCAGGGTAATCTTAAGCTCTCTAGTTTATGGTAAGTGCTTATAGACAGTATTTGTGTTTACCTTGGGAAAATTAACAACAATTTCTTTTTTTATTCTATTGGTGAGTTAAATTTAGCTCTAAATTAAAATAAATGTCTGTAAGATTTATCCCAGGCAAAGACTAATCTAGCTGATATAAGATTCCTCCTTCACAATTCTGCCTTGTTTCAGCGGAGTTTGCAACAGGGAACTTCCTGGATTGTGCCCCCTTGCTTTATCTTGGGGAGACAGCAAATTCTCTGTAATCCAAATATATTCAGTATAGCATTGTATTCTGTACTTTAACATCCTGCTGGGATATCCTGTAGCAATCGTTTGTTTTGACTTAAATGCTTATCTACAGGATCATATACAATCTCCTAAGTCACAGGAAAGGCTCAGAATGTACATTATTTATAAGAATAGAGATGTATAGACAGTTATGATTGTAGGGCTGGGGTGCGGGTGAGACTGTAAATTATGATACATTATAAACTAA